CTCACCTGCAGGACTTGAAGACAATTTCTTGCTTGCTGATATTTTACTTCTGTATAAAATCTTTCAGGTAGCACTGCATCTGTACATGGACAGGTAGGGACTGTTAGGTTCAGCAGAGGAATGTTTTTCTCTGTTTCATACACTTGTATTTGTAAATAAACACTTTGATCAAGTAAAGGTAAAAAACAGTCTGCCTTAAGTAGGTTGGTATGTGCAGAGAGCTCAAAAAACACCATCACACTTTCTCAGTTTGAGGTAACTTGTTACTAAACTGGAACAAATAAACCCTAATGCTTTTCCTTCTATTGCTTTAGATACAGAAGTTGAAACATTCACTAAAACTGGCAGATACACTAATGGCCTTGGGAAAGGCTACCAGCCACTTCAGCGGGTCTGTTGCTGAATTTCCTGAGGAAGTGAGAGACCACCTTACACAGAATCATTTCTTAACCCTTGTGGTAGCAACTGAGGCTACATTTTTGATATCTAATGGTAGATCTCTTTCACATTCAAATAGCAACTAAGTTGTCTTGGCAAAACATAAAAGAAGATCTTTGTCAACAAAGGTCTGCAAAATTTTCTTTAGGTTAGTTCTTAACAAGCAGCTACGGTGCAAATAATTGTCCCACTGCACAAAAGGCTAGTGGTGCTTCCTGTGTAAGATTATTTTTTAAGCTTAAAATGTAGTTGTTTCTCTGTACCCCCCTTTTTCTCTTTTTTTTCTTTTGTACTTGGTGGAGCCTTCCAGCTGTGAAGGAATCTGATACATTAGGGGTCAAGAATGGAGAACTGTGGTTACCAAAAGCTAATATTGGTGTAATTAATTGTTCCACCAGTCTGATCTGTGAGTCCACCCTCGTTCTTCTTCCAGTACTGCATTAGGACAAGGATGCACTCTCTGCACAGGTTCTAGTTCAGTAATTTAGAATCTGCCAAAACTTCCAGGCTCAATTTTCTCGTGCTGACCCAGTCCCATAATACTTGGATTACAGCAGCGGTGGTAAGTGGCACAGGGTAATCCTCCATCATGTTTCTTTGTCTTTCAAGATTTACCCTGAAGTACAGACAGAGAACTCCTCAAGTAGCTTTCAGGTGTATCACAGGAGCTTGTATAGAACTTCATATTTTCTTCAAATAAATAAATAAAATCTATAAAGTAACTGGGTAGAACAGTGGATCAGTTCTGTGTGAAGTCCGGTCTTGCAGCTCTTTAGACAGAAGAACCATGGACTGCGCAGACCCCTTTTTCTCACTGTTCCATTTTGCTCCTGTTCTCAGCATAAGTAGCCAGTCTTTTGCCAGTTTGGATCCAAGGTTATGAGGGAGATGTGTATTTTCAGTACTACCTCAAGAATCTTAAGATGGCCTTCTTTGTCTCATGGTAGAAATCCCATAAAACTTGTGGAGATAGACAACCTGATGGATGGCTAAAGGTAGCTGATGTTTATACACTATATGATGTTAGGATTTAATAATTTGCAGTGACTCTGTCTTTTGCAGGTTCTGTGGAAGCAGATGCCTAACTCCCACAACTGCAGGAGAGAGGAACCATGGAGCATTGATTACTAAATCACTGTTGATGATACATGATTCCACTACACTAACAACACACATCATTACAAATATTGCCTAGTGTCTAATCTCACAATAAACACACAAACTGCCTTCACCAGGGAACATTCAACTGGTTGATGACTCTTGTGTGCACTGCTGGGGTATTTTGGTATGATCTGAGCTGTGGTAGGATGGCAGCAGAATGGAGGACTTAGCCAGCAGCTGTCTCCTGCTTCTCACCTTTCACAATCTAATATGCTATCCTAGTGCTCCTATTTCTTGTCCCCTCCTTGATCTAGATGTCAGCTTTCTCCAGACCACTGGATTCAGTGCAGGACTGGGGAGAGAGGAGTATCATTTAGGGAACAAAAAGGTGATCTCTTTTGCACTGAAAAATCCCAAATGCCAAATCCCATGATTATTTTACAGCTGAATTCTGTTTGGCTGATGATACTTTCTTCCAGGTAGAGCTGCTAATTTGTATTTCTGTGTTGTATCTTTAACAGTTTTGTGTGGTAAATGCTTAGGGACTGGTCTCTTAAAAAAAAAAAAAACCTTGAAAATCCCCCAAAACAATGATTCTCACCGCCGCAACGAAAAAACACCCCAAGCCCCAAAGAATTTAACAGTGCATCAAATACAACTTCAATCTGACAATTTATAGTTCTAGGAGGCATGAATATTTTTCTTCCTTCACAGCAATTAATTAACTTTAGAGGAAGGTTAATTACAGGTAGTCAAACTTCCCATTAGCTAAACACTGACTTGCCCAGCTGCTGCCCCTAGCCAGGTGTGGGGTTGCTGCTCAGCACCTCTTGCTCTCACTGGCTCTCTTCTCCTCCCACTGCAAGGTGTGGAGCACAGGAAAATGTACCAAATGCTCTGTTCTCCTTGGCAGAGAGGGCAAAAAAAGCAGAGCTAACAGGTCCTAACCTGCATTTCACATTCCAAAGCCTTTCTTCTTCATGTATCAGCGGACATCTGAACAGGGAAGATGCCAGCCTCATCCCACTGGACCATGTCCAAAGGAACATCTAGCAGATCTGCTGCCTCTTTAGAGCAGGTAAGGCAGGGTTATTTGCCGAGCTGAAGACCACATTCTTGCTTGTGTCCAAGTATCCTTCATATGTTTACAACAAATATAAGTAATATTTAAAGTGGCTGATGCCAAATCTTCTGCTTGAGCAGTGAGAGTAGCACAAATAACCACGGCTGTTGCTGTGCAGTCAGGGTGGCCCTGAACACCCCTCCAACACAGCTGGCTCTGCCAAGGCTGCGTGTGATAC